GAAAGATGGAGCGAGGGGTAACCTGGTTAGTAAAGTATTGTACTGACAGACGATAGAACTCTACGTAGATGTTAAAAGTCTCTTCCACTTGAGACGTAGAGTGCTAGAAAGGGCACAATTCCCCAGCTTGCAAGATATGAAAGTCTGGAAAATATACAAATTCACAAATTTTTTTGAATCTTTAAGAAATCTGAGTCTACAGGGCAACCATCTAACCTGAAATCTGGGGATTTCACATCCCAAGAAAAAATGACTCCAGTACTTGTGTGCCTGGGGCAGGCACTGCTATTCACTAGTAAATTCAGTAAAATTATTGCTAATGTCCCAGTGTGTGTTTGCAAGGGAAAACAGAAAACCTGGGGACCACAAGTATAATATGAATTTGCATCCATTTCCAGATGTTTCTCTAGTGATCTCACTGGGCACTCACAAAAATGATTAGCAAAATTCCTGAAAAAGTGCGTTTCCTGGCACAGTCTTGGGGGAAGGGAGATATCAATTACTCCAGGAAAGATGGGATCTGAGATGAAGCTCAGATTCCATTGCCCCACTTGTCTTGCAGAACCAACTATGAGTAAAGGCCAATAAACCCACTCTTAGGGGGCTGGTAAGTCCAGTGCAACTGGGAAAAGGTAACAGTAAGAAGTCCAATGTCAGATCCCAGGGGAGGGGTGAGACTATATTCTGGGTCCAGAGCTACTGCTGGTGGAGAGACAGAAACTCTTTGAAGATCACATTCACCAAGCCTCAGGGACACGCATGATTGAGGTTAATCAGAACAGAACTCCTCACCCCTCAACATCACCACCAGGTTAACTAACTAGCACTGACTAACAAGGAACAGTAGAATATGACTGGTAGAACTACAGGTACACAGAAAGAGACTCTAACACACAGCAGGGAAGACCCAAAGCCAAGGGTGAAACAGACATTGAGGAAAACATTTGGGCAAACAAGCCCATGCCCTGAACACAGGCTAGCACTTGCGGAGTTTGAAGTGTGAGACGTACTTAGGGTGACTATGAAAACATAAACCCAAGGAGCTACACAAAAGAACAGAGACCACAAGAAATGGTGATCACATGAGTTAGTTTCCGGCCTCCCCGGTGGCACAGCGTGTTGAGCACTGCACTGTGAAGTTATCCGCAGCCTCTGCAGCATGAGTTCGATCCCGGGCAGACCTCTCCTGCCTCGCCCGCTGCTCCCCTCAGCAGCGTCTTCGGTCCATCTGCCTGTTGTTCTAATCCCTGCTCTCTCTGGTGAATTCTCTCACCCTCCCACACCTCTGAACTGTAACCCAGTTCTTGTATGCACAAATAAATAAATCATTAAAAATAAATTTAAAGAAAAGATGACAGACTGTTTAAATGAAAAATAATATGCTGTGGGATTTATTACATATGCAGAATTAAAATATATGGCAACAAAAGAAAGAGGTCAGGGAGGAAGAAATTGAAGTCTATTGTTGCAAGGCTCTTATATGTGAAATGGAATAATATTTGAATGTATACTGTGGTATCTTAAAGATATATATTATCAATATGAACTCTAAATCAATAACAAATGAGATAACATTGCTAATCTGGGTGGCTTTACTGACCCACACCTTGGGTCTGTGAGGTCCGTCCGGGAGCAATAAACTTTTCCTTCCCCTGAAAAAAAATAAAAAATAAAAAAAGAAAAACATAGCTAATCTAAAAGTTGATAGAGAAAGAGGAGAAAAAAATTGCTAAAATGGTAAATATATACAGATTAATAATCAAATGGCCTAAGCACACTAATTAAAAGAGTGATTATAAAATTGTATATTAAAAAAAAATGACCATCCTTGTGGAGAAATCCACTTGAAGTATTATTCAGTTAATTAAACAAGGAGGTCATTAGACAAGGTCATTAAAATCTTAATGCCTTAGTAGCCAACATAAGCAAACCAAAACCTATACCTGTAATGCCTCAAGATTAAGAATTTGAAATCTAAGAACAACCAATCACAAAGAGTCAATTAAGCTTTTTCAAATAATACAACCACTTATGCTATAGTCAGTCCAAATAAGGCCCTTGCTTTGTTTGCACCTTTTGGCCTGTAAAAGTCCTTCCCCTGGCTCCTAACAGCAGAGTGCTCTTAATCACTTTCAGTCTGGTGCTATCCTCTTTGATTATTGTTCAAATGAAATTTAAATTTTTACTATGCCTCAGTGTATCTTTTAATAGTATAAAGACAGAAATAGACTAAAAGTAAAAGAATGGAAAAAGATATACCAGGTTAACACTAGTGGAAAGAAAGCCAGAATGACTATGTAAAATAAAGAAGACCTCAGAACAAAAAATGCAACCAGAAATGAAGATCACCTTAAAATGATAAAGTAATTGATCCATTAAGATGACATACCAATCTTAAATGTTTACACATCACTCACAAAGCTTCAGAATACACAAAGCCAAATAAGTGCAAATATACTTAGATATTTCATCTTTCTTCTCTTGCAAGAATTGATAAAACAGTAGAGAGAAAATCAGTTAGAATATAGAATATTTGACCAACCTATCAACCAATTTAAACTAATTAACATGTATTGAACACTGAAAGCAACAACTGAAAAATACACGTTTGCTTTAAGTGCATAGAGAACATTTAACAGAAATCCTTTGTTATGGACTGAATTGTATGCCACCCCCTATGTTGGGTTGGTCTCGGTATATTGATAGTGAAGCTGTTGGTTGGGAAGGCCTCAGGCACTTGCCCAGGCTGTATTACTCCTAACACTTCAACCACCAATCATAAGGGACCTTTAAGGAACAAGATTTATTACACTCCTGGAGGGTACATTGATGTCTGTGGGCCACCCAGCAAGGGTATTAGGATGAGAGGAAAAACAGAGTGCTTGGGGCTTTGCCTGTATTAGGATCCCGGAGTGGAGTCTATAGAGTGTTCATTCTTTAATGGCTAATTTAAAGCACAAGAGAGGGAATTATGGTAAGGGAAGGGAGATGCCCAAAATGTTGAAGAACAAAACTGGAAGACTAACAATACCTGATTTCAAGTTTATTATAAGCAACAGCAATCAATCAAGTTAATTAGATCTTGACACAAAGATAGAATATTCTATCAGTGGAACAGAATAGACCCATATATATCTGGATAACTGATATTCAATAAAAGTGGAATAGCAATACAGTGAAGTACAGACAATCTTTTCAAAATTGGTGCTGGACAAAAGCATTGATTCAAAAGAACACCTGTACTCCTATGTTTATTGCAGCATTATTTATAATAGATAAAATCTGAAAACAACCAAAATGCCCAAAAATAGATGACTGGATCAAGAAGATGTGGTATATATACACAATGGAATATTACTCAGCAATCAAAAAAGATAAACTCATGCTATTTGCAGCAACGTGGCTGGATCTAGACAGAATTATGCTCAGTGAAATAAGTCAGAAGGAAAAAGAAAAATATCGGATGGTTTCACTTATAGAAGGAATATAAGGGAACCAAATAAGACATCAGTGTAAAAAAATTATAACAATACGAAACACAACAAAACAAAAACAGACCATTATAAATCAGAGACATCCTGCAGGGGAGGAGGGAAAGGGATCAGAGGGAGGGAGGGAGGAGCACAGGGGACTGAGGTGATGATGCACGTGTGCATTGGGGAAGGAAATTCTATGGGGATGACACCTGAGTAGGGGGGGAAGCAAATATTGTTTAAAAATGAACAATGATGTAAAAAATTAAATAAATAAATAAAAATATCAAAATTGGCGCTGGAACAATCAATTATCTATATGCAAAGCAATGTGATTTGATCCACATCTCAAACTATATGCAATAAAATTAACAGATAATTAATAATTCTCAATAAAATTAATGGATTTCTCATCAGAAACCATCAGCAAGCCCTAAGATCATATATTTAAAGGGCTGAAAAGAAAGACTGTCAACCAAGAATTTTGTATCCACAAAACTACCAAAACTAAAGAAGAAATTGGGATATTCCAGATAAATAAAAACTGAGATAATCTATCACTAACAAACCTGCCCTAAGAAATACTAAATTTCTCCTACAAGCAGAAATGAAAGGGTATTAGATAGTAACTCAAATTTACTTAAAGAAATAAAGAGGACCAATAACTATAACTACATAGGTAAATATAAAAGACATAATATGTATATTTTTGTTTGTCTTAGCTCCAGCTGTTATAAAAAATTACCGCCGAGTGGATGGCTTAAACAGCAGATATTTATTTCTCACAGTTCTGGCTGCTGGGAAGTCTGAGAGTGCCTGCATAGCTGGGTACTGATTAAGGCCACTTCCTGGCTTGTAAACAGCTGCCTTTTCACTGCATCTGCATATAGCAGAGAGCAGAGAGGGCCAGCTTGCTTCCTCTTCTAAGGACACAAATGCCATCAGGAGGTTCTACCCTCATGACCTAAGTATCTTCTGGACACCTGACCTCCCAATATCACCATATTGGTACCTCAGTATATGAATTTCAGGGGAACAAAAACATCTAGTATATAGCATGGTCTATAACTCTTTTTTTTTCTTCTTCTTTTATCTCATGTAGAAGACAACCAGGGACAGGCTTTCTTCTGACTTACAAGAGTTTCTGGGTTTAAAAAAAATTATATAATGTTATATACCAGTGTTACTGCAATGAAAAACTTTTTTAATGTACTCAAGATCTTGGAGAATGGAGGCCTGACTTAGGAGAAAAGAAAGTTGGTGTTGCTTCTTATGCACATCCTCTTGAAATGATTTCAGATGCCCTTCACCTTGACCCCCACCTCCACCTTGACCCCCTGTCCCCCACCACCGCACCCCTCACAAACACTGGAGGCGGAGATGAAAGTGCCAGCTCTTGTGCAAGGGCCACTTGTGGTTTCCCTCCCCACTGGGGGCAGCATGTGGGAGGGTCTTTCAGTTACTCCTCAAAATGAAAATAACTTTGGCTTTGCTGCCACAGCATATGAGGAAAGAAGAGAGGTGTCATTCTTGTTCCCCAATCTGCCTTGGGATTATTCTGGTGCAATTCAGAAATCCGGGCCAGCTGGGCTGAGCAGGGGAGCAGCACAGCAGCAGAGCCAGCCCAGGGCGAAGCAGCAGTCTCCCTGGCTCCCCAGTCATGCCCCGGCAGATCTCTGCAGTGGTGATGGTCTTCATGTCCCTGGCTGGTGAGTGACACACATGAATTTGCATCGGGACCCTGCCATGTCTAGTCTCAACAAATTTAAATGCAGCTTGGTGCCACTGAGCAAGATGAGACAGGACAGACTGCAGACAGCTGTCGTCTCTCCAGCCACTCTGTGTGTGTGGTGTGAGAACAGCTCCATGTTACACAGGGGGAACTCCTTCAATTTCTCTAAGGGCTTTCGTAGTCTGGGCTCATTTTCTATGAGTTGGGCAGTGTAGGTGTTAACCCCAGAAGACAGTGACCCCATCCCTGCCTCCCTTATCAGGGAGGGTTTGGTAGACATCACTGTGATTTCACAGCTGGTGAAGGGAGGTAGCACCCAGACAAGGGACTCTGGCCACATGTGGGAAAAGCACATCATGTTTTACTTTTCTCAAGTGAAAGTGTTGTGTTTCTAGAAAGAGTAAATCATGATAATGCCTGAGATGTAGCCTGACAAACTGTGCCATTTCAGAAAGGGTTAAGCCTGGCCATCAAAGATTTTTCTAATTACCGTCATACTTAAAATAAAAGAGACTGGCTAGGATACTGTGATTTTAGTGATTATTTTATATCCTCACCTCCTGCTTTTTCCCTAAGACATTGAATCTTTTTATGTGCTGTTATCAATATTTTTGGTTAATTCACAATTCCTTCTAGAACCACTAAATCAAGCATGTGAGGGAATGGGTGCTGTCTTCCTTGTACCGCCAAGAGATGGTACAAGGGTGAGACGTGGGTGAGGGGGGTTGGCGGGGGTGGAAAACAGCAGTGCTGGAGCGGAACATGATTGTCCTGAAAGCTGGGCTAATAGGCCAGTGAGTTGCCCTAGTCCAGGTGGCTGTACCCCATGCCACACTTTCAGAATCTGAGTTTCATGTTCTTCTGTAGGAAAAGGGGAAGTCGTCGCTAGATTTAGCAGGGCAAGTTACTCAACAAGCAAAATCTCTCGGCCTTGCAGTGATCTCTAGTGAATGCGCAAGAGCTCTAATTCAATGGCCAGCAGATGACTGGTGATTCAGGAACACAGCTAGGACTCAATCACTACCAGGGCAGGTTGGGAGAAAATGCGTACCTTGCCCTTCCCTGTCTGAATTGCAACTTCTCAGAGGTGAACTGAATGAATAAAACCCCATTTTCAAGATAAGGGAAATGAGGCTGATTAAGGTATCATGCATGGCCACTCAGCCAGCAAGGGCTGCCCTGAGATTTGTATGCCCCAAGTCTTGCTTTGCACTCCCTGCTATGCTCTACTGCCCTTCACAGCCCTGCATGTGTAGGTTCAAGAAAGACATGTTGAATTAAAGATTAGCAAAAGCCAGTAGATGCTTTTCTAGAAGAGACAGAACTTCTAGGTAAACTAGTTAGGTAATCTTTATTCAATCATTTTGCTTTCCTTGTCTCAAATCCCTTCCCCATACAATGAGGAGGGGATTTAAGTTTCTATCAGTTAAGTTTCGGTTCGGCTGCACATGAAAGACAATCCCCAAATGGTAACAAATTAAACAAAATAAATGATTGCTTCTGTCATGTGCAAACAGATCCAGAGGGATGCAGATGACACCTGGCTTGGGGACTCATTATCAGGGACCCACCAGCCAAGGTGTGCCTTCTACTCTCAAGGTCACCTCATGGTTCAAAAGTCTGCAGGGTCTCCTGCTGTCACAAACCAGTGGGAGGAAGAAAACCAAAGGGCAATACAGAGGCACCCCCAGGTGACTGAGCTCATTGCAAGCAGCCTTCCCAGAAGGCCACGAACACAGTGCTTGTATTACTTTGGCTCAAACTCAGTCACCTGTCCCCTCTCAGCTGGAAAAGAGGCTTGGACATAGGATTCTTTATTCTGGGTAGCAAAAGCTAAGCTTAAACTCATGGTGCTATGATTAAGAAAAGAAAAAAGGACTGACTTTTAGGATAGTCAGCTGCAGTCTCTGTCACCAGGCTAGAGCCCCTGAGTTAGAAGGTTTGCTTGGACTCAAATCCCCCAGGGAGCTATCAAACGGAGGTAGGGTTCACATCTTTCTGCTGTAAGGTCTAAGATCAACACGTAAAACTGCGACCTGAACCCTACTAGGTGTCTGCCCAGGGCTCCCCACACATCTAGAAACCACCCTGCTGGGAATGCGTCTGTTGCCCAGGGAGGTATAGCAGAGAAGTACCCTGGGAAGGGGGAGGACAAACTAGTTCCTCTGCCCCTGGATGTACCATGGAGCCCCGTTGACACTTTTACTTCTGCAGACAAAGCATAGCATCCATGTCTGCTAGGCCTGCTCCCTGCTGGCCCCCTCATCACCCTCACTTCCCTATAATCTCTTGCTATGCCCATTAGGATGACCCCCTTGCTGTCTCCAAACATTCCAGTACCTGCAGCCTCCGTGTCTCTGTGTGTATGTAGGTATGTATGTACGTATGTATGTAACCTGCAGGGCAAGTCTCATTCACTTTCTCATATGGCTGAAGCATTTCTCTTTGTGTTGGATTCCCCACCCCATGGTCCTCAGAGTCTACTTGATAAATAATACTTGTCTCACTGTGTGCTCCATTCCTGTGTCTGTCTCACGATCAAAGTCCTACCCCCAGTGGCTGGTGTGGAACTCAGCTCAGAGGAGCCCCTACTATCTGTTGGACTAGGTGTGACAGGGAAACCAAACAGAGGCTGGCTGGTAGGGGCCGCTGTCCTGGAGAAAGCCTGTGTGTGATCACTGGCCACATACCTCTCACACTACTGCTAGTCATAGTCAGCTCCCCCAACCCCCCAACAGGCTGCAGGAGAAGCAAAGCCTTCTCATGCCTCTTGCTGTAGTTCACCATCTCAAGGAGGCTGAGCAATGGGTCCAGGTCCCAGAATCCTGTTTGCCGAGTCTCCTGGGGTGTGAGGGTCTTGGGGAGTCAGCATGTGGACTCCAGGGGTGTGTTTTGGAAAAGAGGGTGGGTAGAGAAAGATTCTGATCTATACCCTGCCCCTTATTCTGCCCACTGCCTTCTTTGTGGGTCTCCGAGAGACCTGAGAATTGACTAAACTATTTAGCCAAAAGTCCCTTTTGACAAAGATTTGTCATATGTGTTTTGTTATATACAGATTTTGTAAAACAGTATTTCGCAGAGTATTATTTTCATTGAATAAATAACATAAACTCTTCAGAACACAAGATATTCCTGGAAACCAGAGCTAGGTGATAGTAAATATCCAGTAATTAGAGTTCTTATTGTTATGACTATGAGAAAAATAACTATTTAGAAATGCATGAAATGTAAAAAAATGTAAAGGAGCTTATAGATAACTGACTGGATATGTACTTCAGGACTCTAAATACCAGCAGAGAGCAATCTCCTTTTCTTTCTCCCCAAGTTTCCCCAAGTTGTTCCCTAGCACCCAGGAGCTACAACTCAACTAGTGTCTGTGGATAAATAGAGCGAAACTACAGCTTTGAAGGGACAGGGTTGCCCTCAGTGTGCCTGGTTCCAAAGAACATCATTTGTCATTTGTCCACTTTCCAGGTTGTTATGCCTGGAAGGAGGAGGCAAGGATTTATAAACATATAATCAGGGTTGATAGTTTGCTGATACACACTGGCCAGATTACTGTTGGATATTTGATGCCATCCCTATATATAATTACCAGTTGTGATTAGCACAGTGGCAATGGATATAACACTGTGACAGCAAACTGGTGGTGGGGAGTTATTTTATATAAAATGGAGCCGGAAGACTGTCTGAGAAGCTGACATAAAGATAAAAATGGAAGAGAAATGGATCTCCCATCACTAGGAGTAATTAGGCACAGATGGAATGAACAGATGGCAAATAATCATGGGTTCACATTACATATTAGATTAGAGTTCGGACTGGATGATCTCTTTCAAATCAGGGATTATATAATTCCATGAGAAGTAAAAACTCTTAATCTTCATCACCATGATTCATGCTGCCCCAGATCCAGCAGGCCACCCCAGCAGTGCTCCACTCAGAAACACTACTAAGCAGTGTCTGCTTTCACATTTGAAAATGAGGAGTGAAGGGGTACAGGCAATTGGACAGCAAGCTCAGCATGATCACTTCATTGTGTTAGTACCACACCCCACAAAGACAAAGGGGATGGATTATCTACAGTGTGATCACAAGCGTGTAAAAACATGGGTGCTACAAAAGCATCACAATGGTGGGTTAGTGGTAGAAACTTGGGTGAGCCTCACTTCATAGCTCTATCCTTGTAAAGTCCCCCAAATCTAAGAATAGGCATTTTAATTTTTAATGAAGAAAGTCACAGTGGTGTGGAGGAGGGAGTCTGTGAAGTATTAATGTGTTAACACTTTGTTTCTAATTTGCAGTGATTTTGCAGTGTGGCAGTCCAATAAGAGCAACAGTTTTGACAGATGTCACAGACCACACTCCACCTACGACAGCAGCACAGGCCCCAGCAAAAGCTTCTGTCCTTCAAACAACTAACCAAGTGCCTCACAAAACTTTAGCAGCAAGATCAATGGATAATCACATCACCTCTCAGAGAGCTGCCACAGCCTCCAATTCTAAGAACACAAGAAAAGCTCAGGCAACAATATTCCTGGTAACTGCAAAGAGTACCCCATCCACCAGTTCAATAATGCACACCCTAGTCACAACCCAGGCTACACCCAACACCTCTCACACGGCTGCTCCAGTCAATGAAACTACAGTTGGCCCCAACACCTCAGACATGACTGCTCCAGTTGCTGAAAGTACAAGCAGCCCCAAAACCTCACATACGACTGTTCTAGTCACTGAAGCTACAATCAGCCCCAATACCTCACGCACCACCTCACACACAGCTGCTCCAATCACTGAAGCCACAATCGGCCACATTATCTCTCACACTACTGCTTCAGTCACTGATGCTACTACAGTCAACTTCAGCACAGCTCCTAGTTCATGGTCACCCACCGTCACCACACCAGACCATACAACCCAAACCAATCCATCAAATATCAGCCACACAACAGGGGAAACCACCCAGCCCAGTAACCGGACCATCCTTCCAGCAACTTTGTCTACATCATCACATAACAGCACAACCAGTAAGGAGCCTACCCAGCCCATCCACACCCTACAACCAGCCACAGCTGTACACAATGCCACCCAAACAGCCTCACCTACCACCAAGGCCCCTAGGCCCACCCTTTCACCTCAGCCATCATCAGCCAAGACTGGTATTTATCAAGTTTTTAATGGAAGCAGGCTCTGCATCAAAGCAGAGATGGGAATAGAGCTGATAGTTCAAGATACGGCATCGGTAAGTGGGGTTCACAAGGTTTTAACACTTTCTTCAAAAATTTTGAGTGAGTTTATGTTGCTAAGAATGGACATTCCCCTGCATCCTGTGTCTTTTAATGTAATAAAGAGCTGTGAGCTCCAAGCTCCATTAATAGGTAAATCTGTTTTTAAATAGATATAAAAATGGAGACTAATAGAGGCTGTTTAGAGAAACTACACACCCCAAATTTAAATATACATGCCCTTCACCTTCAGCCAAGACAGGCAGAGGGTTATGGGGATTTTCAGCCTGGCCCTAACTTTCTGGACAACTTCCAAGCCTCTGAACTTTCCTGTGAAGTGAGTGACTTCTAAGGTCCTAGTAAACTGTGACATTAATTAAAAACTCTAGATTAACTAAAAGAAAGGAAAGGGTGAGATAGAGTTAAGATAATTTGATTTAATAAAGAAATCACAGAGAAATAATACTTTCTTTTCTGTGGTTTTTATGAGCTCAAACAAAATTTCTACATTCAGATTTTCATTTGAAACAGAGGTTTATATTTAACAAAATAAATTTCACACAGCTTGGAAATCAGAGGTGTTGTCCGGAACCTTTGAGGTTTCCAATGAACACCCACTTGCCTTGAGTTTCAAGCTCACCGACTCCCCGTGCTTCCAGTTCCCGAGCTAGGGTTTTCCTCTACATCTCATTGAACTGATCTGTTTATTTGGTTTAGGTTTTTTCACCTAAGAGATACTTCAACATCGACCCTAATGCAACCCATGCCTCGGGGAATTGTGGCTCCCGAAAATCTGATCTTCTCTTGAATTTCCAGGGTGGATTTGTGAATTTCACATTTACCAAGGTGAGGTTTGAACTCCCTCATATTAACTAGTATTGACATTGCTTTCCTTTTCCCTCCCCTGGGGGCCCAATGGTGCAATCCCCCACTTCAGTTTAAGTTCTAGGGGAAATAGATCTTAGAGCCTTTTGAGATATTTTCTGATAAGAAAGAGGGCCCGGAGATGGAGAGGAGGGAAGTGTCAACATTTCATGTTTGCCTTCTTCCCCCTTCTGCCTTTTCTGTGTAGCCCAACAAGGGCTTTGATGCCTCTCAGGGAAGCCTTGGCCTTGGGGAACCTAGTCATAGTTGCCCTCTGCAAACCATGCAAAGGAGGAAGTTGTACAGAGGAACAGACCCATAGAAATTCCCAGGGGGCACCGGAGAAACTGGGTCACACTAAACCAAAATCAAATGTCAAAATGTGTTCTTTCCAGTCACGAGGGGTAAAATTCAGGGACTAACCAGGACCTGGGTTTTCCAAGCCTTATTTCTAGAAGGAGGAAAGCAATAGAGTGGAAAACACATGGGCATGGGGTCAGAACCCCTCGGCTGCAAATTTGACTTTGTTACTTGTTCTCCCTCTGACACCTGGCAGACAACTTAATTGGTCTGAGATTTATCATTTGAAAAATGAACAAAAGGAATTAGAGATCACTTCTATAAAGAGTGTTGTCCAATACATGGAAGGTAGATGCTCCTTAGCTGTCAGTTAGCATAGCAGTGACTGAAATCGTCAGTTGTCATGCCACCCTCAAAGGAGAGACTTGTTCCTGCCTGCCCAAAAGTGTCTTTCAAATAGGCTGAGTAAGAGCTGGGAAGGAGATATTCAAGGGACTCTTGCAGCTAAGATGTGGTATGTCTCCATACCTGTCAATGTTACCTGCCTGGACCCTGAGATTAGAGAGGTCTTGATGAGCAGATCTTGGAAAGGAATTTGGGGTCAGACAAATGAGGACTGACTCCCGGTCATAATATTTACTAGTTGTGTGATCTGTTTGTTGGGGCTTATCTCCTCATCTATAAAATGGAAATTACTATTACCCCTACCTAAGAGGGCCTTTGGGAGAATTAGAAGTGGTATCCAGAAACCATCTAGCATAATGCTTGGTACATAACAGTATTTTTTTTTTTATTTAGTTATTTTTAGGCACAGAAGCAAGGAGTTTATTGTCAGATAAGGAGAAGGACAGGAAAGCTCTCTGAGTAGAGAGGGGTCTAAGCAGGTAGCCCATAACAATATTTAATAAGGGAGGTTGTTATTGTTGCTACTGTTGTCATTAACTTGGTCTCAAAAACTTGATTCTCCTGGGGTGTATTTTTCCCCATAAGGAGATGTACTTGAGAAGTCAGTAGCTGACATTCAATACTGAATGGGAAATCCTCACACAAGAAGAATATTCAGGACAGAATTAAGTACTCTCTCCCTAGACAATTGAAATAACACTATAGAGCTGTCAACATCCCTTTGTCAGAGGGGCAGAGGGTGTAGGCATAGCATTTATGCTTTAGGTCAGAGCCCAGTTCTATCCACACGGTTACCATGTGAACAACTGCCTAAAAGAAGGCATCAGAAACCCACATGTTTGCCTGCAGCACAAGATGGCCACTGTTGCAGGAGAACCACAAGCAGGAGTTTCTTGGGGACCCTCAACTTCTCTTCTTGCCAGCTTTCTCTGTCTCCTGTTTCTCACGTCCCTGCCTGTCCAGTGCCTTCAGAGTGGACTCTGTTGACCAGCCCCATACAAGTGTTGAATCCCTGCCTTTTCAGAAGTTCTCTATTCTCTCACGTTGCCTCTACCTCCAGAGGCCAGGCAGGAAATGAGACCCAGGTAGAAAGACTAGCAGGGCCTCCCCAACTCCACCACTTTCAGGAAAGAGCAGGTAAGCCTCTCAATCCTGGGCCCAGAGTGTTACAGTAGATGCTTTATTTATTCATTGTTGCATTCCCTAGCACCAGCTTCCCAGTAGTTGACTTTAGCTTTGCAAAGAAGGTCACTGAATGTCCCCTCCAGCCTAGTCTTTCTGGGAAATTTCTGCATTTTAAAAGAGTACTTGGTTAAGCCACAATAACAACTACAAATTCAAAGAGTACAGGGCTAGGTATAGAACTTGAGTGGAGGCCTCCCTGGTGGCACAAGGGGGTAAGCACAGCGCTGTGAAGCTATCTGCAGCCTCCCCAGCTGGCCAGGGAGCTAACCACATGGTGCAGCAGACCTCTCCTGTCTTGCCTGCTGCTTCCCCTCAGCAGTGTATTTCAGTCACTCTGCCTATTCTGCTCCCCACTATGTCTCTGGTGAATCCTCTCACCCCCAACCCCACACCTCTGACCTACACCCCACTTCTTGTATGCATAAATAGGTAAAATAAATCTTTAAAAAAAAAAAGAATTGACTGAGCGTCTACTGTTTTCCCAATGCTAAGCTAGACATTACAGGAGAACATAAAAGACACAGACTATACTTCCATGTTTTAAATCATGTGTAATAATTTCAGTTAAAATTGAAATTATTTGAAATGCAGCCAGTGACAAAAAATGTAAAGAAAAATCTTTCTAAACCTCACTTGGCCTTGTGCTCAATAGAGATGTAAGTTATCTATATTTCAAGTTTGCTATTTCAGGCTGTTTCCCTCTTGCTTCTCTTGTGCCGGGAATGCCTCCCCGCCATCTCTCAGCCCTCTTTGCATAAGTGTATTTTTACCTCTGGCTCAATTATCATTACCTCTGAAGTCCCCTCACCACCCCCTCCCATCCTAGGTAAAAATGGGAGACTTTCTTATTTTGGTTCCTTGAGTCTGTATTTGCTGTTCCCCAAACTTCATAAATGTACTTAATTGCACATTTTGCCATCTTGAAAGTAAAATCTCTGACTTACTCACATTTCTGTCTCTAGTGTCCAGCCTTCACTTTATACATATGATATCTTTAGCAAACACTTGATGAACAAATATAGCAATAAAAGGGTGAGTCTAAATTTTAGAGAACTCAGAGTTCGGTTGCCCAAAAGGTAAGTGTGCAGCTCTAAAGAAGCCTCTCTGGCTTCTTCTTGTTATTTGTTGATTTAGTCACACAACACTGAATAAAAGAGGCCTGACTGATTTTAAGGATAAAACCACATCCTGAACATCTGTGACTCTGAAACACCAGTTATGTACTTTGCAGAAGTAAGGGCGACTTCAAGGACCATTGGCACACTACCTTCCTGAGTGAGCTTGACTGGCTTGCTCGGGACCTGTCCTCTGCTAGGGAGGATGTTAAGTTTCCTTGAGGAATTAAGATCTCTTTGAGGAGACATCCCAGGGCTCTCTTTAGATACCGTGTCCGCATATCATTGGTTAAACAGTGAGACGGGACTTTCATGAGTAGTTCTTTCACAGGGACATGCTGTAAATGCTAAGTGTCATATTGGGCTACTGAGTCCTCAGGTTGTTTTTGTCAGTGGTCACACACGCAGAATTTTCACTTCATCTTTGAGAAACCGGCATTGCAGATATTTGTCGTTCTCGGATGAATGAAAAACATCTGGTAGAGATAACACCACGGTTGTCAAAAGAGAAAGCAGATGCTAAGCTGGGTAATGTGTGACATGTAATTTCTTCTGGGCTTTGGTTAAATCTGACACCTGCCAGAGGCTCCCAACTGCCAGAACTTCCACTCCCTATCTGTCAGAACCCCGTCCTACAAAGCTGAGGTTTCAGGTTTGATCAGTAAATCTATCTAAGCTCACTCATGTACTTGTTTTCTCTTTGTATTTGTGGTGGATCTAAACTTTAGGATGTAGATCAAATTATTTTTTGAGCTCAATAGGGCAATTAACCATCGTTAACCAATGACCATTGTTAGTAACATCAGTTAAAACTTGAATGAAAATGCTGTTACAAGTTTTTCACAGGGATTCCTTCATTTAATCCTTACATCAACATAAAGGATATGTCATATTACTTTTCTCCCCATGCTTGCACTAAAGAAGTGAAAACTCAAATTTTTAAAATATGCACAAAAATTTGAACATTAGGTAGACTAACTTAGGAGTAAAGAGATGTTTTTTAAAGATAATATTAAAAAATCCTTAGTAGCACTTCATTATCTCAAATAGGAAGTTAACCACTCTCTAATATCTTTTCATGATTGACTGGTTAGTTCACCAACTGAGCTTCTCAATGATGATGGTATAGCACAGGAGTTAACAAATTTGGCTTCCTGAGCAGCTCACCACCAAACTTGCAGCGCAAGCTAAAATGGCTTTTACATTTTTAAGTGGCTGGGGGGAAAATGAAGAATATTCTGTAAAACATGAAAATTGCATGAAATTTCAATTCTGACATCCATAGTAGTTGTTTGGGAACATGGCCACACTCATTTGTTACGTTAGCTGTAGCTACTTTTGCCAGGGTTGAGTGGTTGCCACTGAGAACCACAAAACCTACATTATTTACCATTGGTTCATTACAGGAAAAAGTCGCCCATCCCTCAGAATAAACTTCAGCCCTATTCCTATTCAAATTATGCCAGATTCTGAATTGCCACATCTTAAACAAATACTTTGCTCTAGTTTACATAAAAGGCAACTTTATTTCCTTTAAGAGCATTCTATAACACCACAACTGTCAGAAAAGGTGGGTATAAGTCAGAATCATTGGATATCAGCAGCATCAATTATGTAGCACTTGGAATTTTAAGGAAACCAAACATCTTCTTGCCCTTTGGTTTGCTTTTCCTTTACCAGAAAGATAGACTTCAGCTTCAGCCCAGTCAACATTTGGCTAATTTTGACTCAGTCAAAACAGAAGGAAACTTGGAACTGGCTCTGGACCATGTCCTCTCGGGACACTGAGACAAGCTCTCTGCCACGGTCCTGTGGAAGCTTCGTCTTGGGCATTAGCCCTAGAAAGTGTGGTTTGTGTAGAGCACGATTGGCCCTTCCAAATGCGCCCGCTCTTGGGTGTGTGACCTGCTCAGTTGGAAGGGCCCAGGCATGGTTTAATAGTTTGTTGTCACATCTTGAAATTCTTGAGCAATTTTGAACAAGTGGTCCTGCATTTTCATTTTGTACCATAAATTTTGTTGCTAGTCCTGCTTCTAAATGATGGCTAGACATAGGCTACTGAATTTAAGGAAATGTTCAAGACAGTTCTTACACAGTGAGCTTTTATTTGTTCTCAGCGAGCCTCTCTGTTCTCAGCTGTAAAATGGGTTGATGATGTTTATTCTGTCTGGAGGATGCTGTGAGGAACAAAGGAGGCAGTGTAGGTGACAGCATGCACTTGTGAACTGTGACAGCCTTAGAGAAATTCAGAGCACCCTCTGTTCACTGTAAGGATAGAATAGGAGATACCACAGCAAAGGGAACATTGCCAGGAAGCCTCCCAGGAGCTCAGAGCTTGCCTCATCACTGCTAGCCAAGCAATTTCCAAAAACAAATCATGCCCCATGTAAAATACTTCATTGAATCATCTCTGCCTAAGGCTAAGGGAGGGCCTTGTAACACTGACTGTGGACCCTGAAGTACAGTCTCTCTTGTGCTAAAAAGGACACCAAATAAAGTAAAACTTGAATAAATGTTTTGTGAAAGCAACCAGCAAAGACCTGGACCACAGATGTTTCTATCTAAAATGAATGCAAGTCCAAATGCCTTGTTCAACATGCTGTGACACCTGAGATTCAGCTCCTGGAACGAGGCAGCCAGGTCTTATTCTTCTCCCAAGATCTGGAGTGGTCTGGAGTGGATAAAAATAGATGGGTTAAAGGTTAGGCTTGGATATGGGCAACCTGGGGTCATATCTTCCCTTGGCCCCTTATTAGAGCTATGACTTTGGGCCTTCACAAGTACTTGCTATGGTGTCCAGCACATGGTAGGATGCCAGCATGAGAAAGGTGTTAGTCAATAATTGGCAGTCAATGAATTACAGCATTTCAAGATTGGAGTGTGAATAGCAATGACTTTTAAAACAGTTTGCTATATTGTATAAGGATTGCTATATTGTGTAAGGATTGCTATATTGTGGAATGCTATATTGTGTAAGGATTCATCATCTGACCCCCATACAATGTACCAGTGAACAATAATGGGTCGAGGTTACTATTGTTAAATTTCTTCAATTACTAGATTAGAAACTACTAAAAGAAATTCAATTTCAGATTCTGATTTCAGTGATCTCTCATTTTTTTGCCCCTCTTACTGATGGATAGTTTTCTAATGAATGTTTAAAGTGATAACACTGTGAACCACGTACTCTAAGAAATAAAAACTCCCTTTTCAACTTATCCTATTGGATCTCAGTTCAATTCCCTTCAGTATGTGTATCCTCTGCTTTTCAAGAGGTTGCAGTTATTTTGTAATTTGTTTTGTTTCTCAAAAGGCCAATTTCTGAATAAAAGGTGGAGAATTGTTTTTTATTTCTGAACACAATCACCTAAAGTCCTCTTCGAGTGAACACCCAGTGATTTCAGAGTAAACCATTTCTTCCCAGAACCGCTCCTGGAGGCCCTGTTTAACCATTTTGGAGACATAAACGCATTAATCTGTTTAAAGTAATCAATACCTTATGCAGGAAAATGCAAGCACAATTTTACATACACTACTTTTCCCAGAGGTTTATGGATCCTACGTAGCCCATAAACCCATGTGTATGACCTCAGTTTGAATCTTTACCCTAAGATATATTTGCATTTTCATAGGAATAAATATGGTCCAATGAAGGGAATTAACTTGTTGGTGAAATCTGAATTTCAGGCTCTAGCTGCAAGTGTGCAACAGAGGAAATTTGAGCTGGGGAAGCTATTAGTTATTATTTATTGTGTGGTGTATTTAATCTTTTTGAAATTTTTAAACATAATTATGTTTGCTACTTAAACACCCCATATCAAGGATTTAAAGGTTGAAATCTTGACTAAGCTGTTTGGAAGCCAAGATCATAAACATAAAAACAGATTACCCGGGGCCTCCTTGGTGGCTCAGGCAGTTGAGTGCAGCGCTGTGAGGCTGTCTGAAGCCTCTGCGGTGCCGGTTCGATCCCCACCAGCCTCAGAACAACCCACGTGGTGAGCAGACCTCTCCTGTCTCACCCGGTGCTCCGCTCAGCAGTGTGTTTCGTCAGTCTGCCTGTTCCGTTCCCCACTCTGTCTCTGGTGAATCCTCTCATCCCCCCTGTGCATCTGGCCTGTACCCCAGTTCTTGTATAAATAAAACAAATCTTTAGGGAAAAAAAACTACAGAGATTACCCAATGGTTAACCCACTGTTGTTTTGCAGGATGAAAACTCATATTATATCAGTGAAGTGGAAGCCTATTTGATGGTCTCAAATCCAGGTGAGCACTTAGAAAAAGCTGTTCCACCTGTGACAACACTTTCTGATTAGCTTATTTTTCATCCCATTGAATCTGCTAATTTTTGATGTTGCCGTTGAGAAACAGACTGTGAGAGTAACTGACAGGATAACTTTGGAAGAACACATGACACTCTTTGTGTTGCTCATTTTGCTCATCTGCTCATGGAAGAGGTGGAACTAGAGGTGTCAGAGACCATTATCAACAATAGGTGTTTATTGTCTTTTTGGCAGATTTGCTGTTGAAATCACACCGCCATTCTAAAATATAGCCAGTGCTTGGTAAACACCAAGCTACTTTGTTAGGCACCAGGGATCTATAATTGTACAATTATAGAGTACCTGTCTCATGGAGCTTGTATTCTAGAAGTGGGGAGGGGACCATAAACAGACACATTAAATTGTAATGCAGAGTTAAATAGTGATAGATTCCATGTTCAAACATTAGTAGGGGGAGGCGGGTAGGAGTTGGAGGCTACTTCAGGTAGAGCCTTAGGGAAGCAGTTAGGGGAGGAAAGCTGCTCTGAGGTGGTGAGATTTGAGCAGAGAGATATTCCCATTTGGGAAATTCTGAGGCTGGAGAAGTTCTTTCAGGGCAGCAAGAAAATAGATGCACAAGCCCTGAGGAGTGAGCTCACTAGAGTATTCAGGGAGCAGTAGGGTCTAGTGTTTGCAAGAGAGCGAGCAAGGCCGCAGATGAAGTCTGAGGACAGCCAGGCCAGAGCATGTAGGGCCTGTGGGGAGGGCAAGGCCAGGACTTGGGATTTCACTCCAAAGTATAAAAGAATACCACTAGAATTTCAGTGTAAGGAAAGGAACATATCAGATTCGCATTCTAGAGTTTCACTTTGCTATAGGGAGACTTGCTAGTAGCAGGACAAGTTGAGAGAACTACTACAGCATTCACTTTTAGAGAGTAATGCTCCCGTTCAAGGGGCTGTTTCTCAAGGTCTCAGATGTTTCTCAAGGTCTCAGATGTTTCTCACAAAGTCAAGACTCGGATAACAAACTTTTCCTGGGTATCTCCTCTGTGTCAGATACTTAACTAAGGGATTTTTCATCTGTTTTTTCCTTTTCAAAAGTCTATCTTTCTGGCTTATTTTGCTGAGCATGATCCCTTCCAACTCCATCCATGTTGCTGCAAATTGCATGAGTTTATCTTTTTTGATTTCTGAGTAATATTCCATTGTGTATATGTCCACATCTTCTTGATCCAGTCAAAGAAAAACAATAATACCGGATAGTCTCACTCATAGCAGGAGTTTAGAAAACCTAAATAAGGGACTTTACTTTAAAAATCAAAATCAGGGCCTCCCCGGTGGCGCAGCGGTTGAGCGCTGGGTTGCGAAGCTGCCCGCAGCCTCTGCAGCGCCGGTTCGATCCCCGGCTGCTCCCCGGCCACCGGAGGAGGGTCCCACATGGCGCGCAGACCTCTCCTGCCGCCCGCTGCTCCCCTCAGCAGTGTACTTCGGTCCTTCTGCCTGCTCTGCTCCCTGCTTTGGCTCTGGTGAATTCTCTCACCCTCCCGCGCTTCTGACTGTACCCAGTGCATGTATAAACAAAACAAACAAATAAATAAATAAATAAAACATGCCTCTATTAAAAAAAAAAAAATCAAAATCAACAAGCAACTATAGACCAGAGACAAACTACAGTGGGGGGGCAGGGGGAGGAGAAGAGGGATTAGGGTCAGAAAAAGTGGGTGGGAATTGTATGGGGAATATAACCAAAATGAAAATGCATACATTATGCAAAAATGAAAAATTATGTAAGAATTATATAAAATAAAATAATTCAAAAAAAAGTCTATCTTTGGGCCTCCCTTAGTGGTGCAGCAGTTGAGCGCTGGGCTGTGAGGCTGCCCACAGCCTCTGCAGCACTGGTTTGTTCCCCGGCCAAGGGTCCCACAAAAAAAAAAGTCTATCTTTGACTTCAACTTGTTGTTTTATTGATTAAAGCACTTATACAAAAGAAACTTCTGGAAAAACATTAAAAAGTATTTTGATAGTCAAGAGGAAGTTGTTAATAATTGTTAGTTAAATGTAAGATGTCACAGATGACAACTCACTTTCACATACATTAAGTCATCTTGAAGAGTCTCTTCATATCGACTGGGGAGTAAATATTGTGGATGCTACCAGAAGTTACCTAATGTTATCACTAGGTATGGACCACATTTTAGCTAACAAGAGGGCACTAATCTCTTCAAGGGCAGGGAAAGGTCCCCATGATGACTCAGCGGTAGCTGTGGGAGCTATAGAAGTCACTGATGATTTTCATGTTGCTGACCTCTCCATTTCCTCCCCTGTAAAAGGAGTCTTAGTATCTTAGAACCTCAAAGGATTGTAATGAAGTTACAACCTTTCAGATGTGGCTCTCTGGAGCATGTAACATACTTGTACAAAGGGCCATCCTGGTGGCACGAGGGGTTAAGTCTCAGCACTGTGAAAGCATCCACAGCCTCTGCAGCAAGAGTTCCATCCCCTGCCAGGGAGCTGAACCACATGGCACAGCAGACCTCTCCTGTCTCGACTGCTGCTCCCCTCAGCAGTGTGCTTCAGTCAGTCTGCCTGTTCGCTTCTCACTCTGTCTCTGGTGAATCCTCTCATTCCACCCACACCTCTGGCCTACACCCCAGTTCTTGTATGCATAAATAAATAAATCTCAAAAAAAAATTTTGTACAATGCCCAGCAGACCCAGGTTGACATGCCCACAAAGGCAGGAAAGGAAGGAGACTTCTAGGTTTCTTCACTGACAACTTATGGACATTCCTCGGGGCCAGAACTTTGGTGAATTCCCTGAGATCCATAGTCTGGTCCTCAATCCATAAAATCAGAATGCCAGTTTTTTCATTTATAATGCAACTATTTCTTTTTTTTTTTAAGATTTATTTATTTATTTATTTTTAATTTATTTGTTTATTTATACAAGCACTGGGTACAGTCAGAAGCATGGGAGGGTGAGAGAATTCACCAGAGCCAGAGCAGGGAGCAGAGCAGGCAGAAGGACCGAAGTACACTGCTGAGGGGAGCAGCGGGCGGCAGGAGAGGTCTGCGCGCCATGTGGGACCCTCCTCCGGTGGCCGGGGAGCAGCCGGGGATCGAACCGGTGCTGCAGAGGCTGTAGGCAGCTTCTCAACCCAGTGCTCAACCGTTGCGCCACCAGGGGAGGCCCTCATGCAACTATTTCTTACTGCCAATGGGATCAGACAATTGGATCCTCGGGCTAGTGAATTTTCTCCTACTGAAGGAAAAAAAGTAGACTTAGAAGTATACTTAGAAGGGTACTAAGAAGGGCACTTAAAAGGGTGAACATGGAATTAGAACAAATGGCACTACCTATAAGACTAAATGTTTAACAGCACCTGCCTTGAAGCACCTGCTTCCTTGGTAAGGGTCTTCCTGTCAGAGCATAGGACCAGTCTTAGTGGTTCTCTCCACCCAGCACTCAGGCAAAGTTGGGCCCCCCACAACAGCAGGAGCACATGTAGATTTGCCAGGATTCTTTTATGTCTGTGTTTCATCTTTGGTTTGTAGAGAAAACTTATAAAGGAATGAAAAGTGCTGTGATGATGTTTGAGACGGTGGTCGGACATTCCTTCAAGTGTGTGAGTGAACAGAGCATCCAGCTGTCCGACCAGCTTCAACTGAAAACAGTGAACGTCCAACTTCAAGCCTTTGACTTTGAAGGAGTCACCTTCGGAAACGGTGAGTGGAGGGTTCATCCTGTTACAAGATAAACTTCAGAGACCCTGCTATAGTTTTCAAGTTCTTCTTTGTCTGAAGCCATCACAGGGACAAGAACATATGACTGCACAGAGATCTTAGGGCCAAGTGCTCTGGGTTTTCTCTCCCCAACCCACCTTCCTCTCAGTCAATATCAACCTCATAATCAGACAGCTCTGCCTGCTCAAGTCCACTGCCCTCCACAACTAATACAAAATCCTTGTCTTATCAAAACATATATTCTGACTCCTTTACACACACACACACACACACACACACACACACACACACACACACATTATCTTAGGTACATTTGGAGAATACTTTAAAGATCCAGAGTATTAGTGATGTCTAAAATTCAAGATTTCAAACTCAGTCTTTCCTACTTGGAGATGAAAAATAGAAAGTTGTAATAATTTGAGATAGAAATACACACTGTTGAATCCCTTCTCATATACAAGCTGTTCCACTCAAGTAATGCATCCTCATAATTAGTGTTGGTTCCCATCCAATTTTTGCTTTGGGTTTTTACCACCACAGAAGGAAGCAGGTCCTAGGAAGAGGGCCAGGTTGCCTTTCCAAGAAATCCCTAGAAACCCCTTGTTTTTCCTATCATAAAAACAGTATTATAAGGATTTCTATATATGACCAGAAATTGCACTTCAGTTTCTAAAACATTCTTCTCAAAGCAACAACAAAATCCTTCTCATAATTTCTCAATGACATAAATAACTCTCAGTGATCAAAAATTGATTTAGCTAATTTAGCCATTAGTTAAATGAAATCTTATTTCTCTTTAAGTTCCTTTATAAAATTAAAGAGGTGTCCAGTAGAAAAATTTTGATATGCTTGGTAGAAAGCACTTAGCATTAACAACTAAAGTGTTCCTGGCCTTGACTCCCCTGATTTCTGTAGGTTTTGTCTGAATCTTATGTTCTCAACCTTTAGTTGGCTCCTTACCACATTGCTAAAATTAAATATTAAAATTTTCTCATTGGGGAGGCCCCTAATTTGTCACTTGCTGCAAAACTTCCAATTTGAGGAAACTTGAAAAAATTCATTATAAAGGTTTGTAATTAGTTGTGTGATCTTAAAAATGAGACACTTGGTGTTTTTTTTTAAGAATTATTTATTTATACAAACAAGAACTGGGGTACAGGCCAGATGTGTAGGAGAGTGAGAGGATTCACTAGAGACAGAGTGGGGACAGAACAGGCAGATTGACCGAAATACACTGCTAAGGGGAGCAGCGGGCGAGTCAGGAGAGGTCTGCTGTGTCATGTGGGTTACTCCCTGGCCGGGGATCAAACTCGTGCTGCAGAGGCTGCCAACAGCTTCATGGGTTGTGTCTTAACCCCTTGTGCCACCAGGGAGGCCCCCACTTGGTTATTTTTAAAGGAGCTAACAAATAAGACACTTGCTGTTCTTCCTACTTGGAACATCTATGAAACAGAAAATGAGCCATTTAGTGACAGGGGTGAGAAATAAGGGATTGCAGGAGCACACAGCTGACCTATTAGCAGGGCCCAGAGAGAGATGCAGAAAAGTCAGCCTTCACTTTTCCTTCTCCTTCCCTCACCCTCTCAGACAAATAATAACGAAGTCCCAGCAACTTTACCTCCAGTTATTTCTCTTGTTCATTCCACTGCCATTGCTTCAACTTAACTCCAAACACCCCGTGTCTGTGCTTCCAATTTCACTAGAGACACTACAACATGGTATATGTATTCTGTAAATAACATTTCCTACCAGAGTAAGGGAAGAGGGGAAAAGGAGCAAGTTTAAAAAGCCACCATATAATATGGTATTCTAAAAGACATTTGGACAGATGCTTCGTGGCAGCACAGAGGAAGGTGTGACTAACACAGCGTGGCGCTGAGGTAGAGGGTGTCAGAGAAGCCCTCACCCATGGGTGACATTCTGACAGGGACCAAAAGAACTAGAAAAGGACCCAGCAAGTGTAAACTCTCAATCTGGTCAAAGAAAATGGTTGTCTCAAAGAGTAGGCTCTAGCTTCCCACATTCTCAACCCCTCCTCCCTAAAATCCCAGGATTCACCAAAGGGTGTCTCCAGTACCAGGTGTCCCAGTCATCAAAGAGCCTCTGTAAGAAGCACAGAGTTTGAATAGAGAAGTTTGACCATGTGATTTGGTGCAGGTTCCTGTTTCTGTGGTTCCTGGGCTTTCCCAGGAGAGTCAAGATACAATTCTGATCTTGACCTTCTAGACCAAAAACCAATATTTCTCAAAGTTGGATCTGCCTTCTAGATGCAACAGACTCCCCTGTGCTCCCCCTGCAGCCCACTGAATCATAATCTACTGGCTCTAACACAGCCCCACGCTGTGTTAGTCACACCTTCCTCACACCTGGAGATCTGCAATTTAATATATTTTGTTAGTGATCACTAACACTGCAAGTTTCAGATCACAGCAGTGACTCTTGTCCTCCTTGTGTTCACCTCTCTGTATATCTGAGGCGGCAGGCGGGAGGCCCAGCAGCTGCATCTCTCCCTTGGTTTCCTTCTCCGTGAAGCCAAGGCAGGCAGGAGTAGTGTCACGTCCCAGCATGTGGCCAGCCTATAACCTGTTGCTCTGACTTCAATTACAGCTGATGAATGCTTCAGTGACAGAAACAGGAGAGAAATCCCTGTGGCCGTGGGCCTGAGTATCGCAGGACTGCTTGTCGTTTTGCTAACAGCTTGCCTGGTGGCCAGAAAGAGGCCCAATAGAGGATATGAACGCATGTAAAGGCCCACCTTCTTCAAAATGTGCAAGGTTAAGGCTTTGGAAATTCTGACTTCACATTCAGCCTCAAGAGAAAGGATGGACTTTTCTAGTTGCCTGTCCTGTCTCCCCAAGCTAGGAAACCTACCTCTCCGCCTGAGGGCCATCCAAAAGCCAGCTAAAGGGTAGCCCCTACCGCACATCCTCCCATAGCTTAGGTACCCTGTGCCTGTGGGCTTGGATCCCATCTTCCTCATCTGATAATATGGCTGCAAGAATTAGGGGACAAGAAGGGAGACCTGAGCAGGGTACTTGTGAGGCGAAAGCAAATACCCAGAGAGAGAATTGTGGGGAAGATATTTTCAAATTGCATTGATCTTTATTGCACATTTAAAAATAGATTCTTATAAACACAGAGCCTGATTCTAATGGGGTTTTAGTCCTAGATTTTGCCCAAATCCTGATTTACTTAAAGATGGTCTTAATATACTATCATTTAAAAAAGATTTATTCTGTATTATTGTAATGTAGTATTAGTTTGTAAAAATCTAGAAAATATTTCACTTTTCAAATGTAAAACACAAACCAAAGATCTTTGCAACAAGAGACAACCAAAATGTCAGTTCTTCTATTCCTTTACCTTCTTTTATTTTCTGTCACCCTAGCCCTGTTTTTCTTCTTTGTCTCTAGTTTTCATTGATTCTAATCTATTCTGTAAATTTGTTAATGTGGATCATTCTGTGGAGGGGAGGAAGGCAAAACATCAAAACAATCAGAAATGGCATGGAGAAGAGGCAAAGGTACACAGATCATGATCCACTTCCCCTTTTTAGCAGACATTTACAAAAATAGATAAATCTGGAAATTCCTGATTGGCAATGTTTAAGATCTGGAAGTAAAAAAATTGTATAAAAATATGTCTTGGGATGTTATTCATGGTCTTCTATGACATTAATTATTTAAATATGGGAGAGTTTTTATTTCAGAGAAAGTGGAGAGTAATGGACTTAAGGGTGTTTTTAACTGCTTTTCCTCAGAGGAAGTTTTCTTGTTTTTCTACAATTTCCAGAAGTGCCATTCATGATTTTAACAGGAACTTTTTGAAAGTTGGCCACACTCTCCAACTACTGCTTATCACTTACTGGCTTTCCTCGAGGTGTTTATTGATAGCTCTTGACACTTCTCAGAAGTGAAGGGGTCGGGTGGGCACACAGAAGCTTGAGGCAAGCTTCAAGAGCCCCTGAAGATGTGGAGAGTGTCAGGAAATTACTGGGTCCTCCTCACAGTGGGAGCTGTGCTGGAAATCTGGGATTTGAGGACCCAGTGTTCTACTAAGTGACTCAGGTTACCAGCCTGGGCTTGGCTTTGGAGAGAAGTGACCTCTCTCCATGTCCTTCCACCTACACGCATCAAGTACTCAGTTTCCAGTTCTGCTTGAAGTGGGTTTGAAAATGTCTACACTGACAGAACACAGGTTTTTTAATTCACTGTGCCATGAATCTTCTTGTTAAAGGACTAAAGCAAGGTTAACCCTCCAGTATGTGGAAATATCTCCTACAGCAGATGGGGAAAGGGGTGAATTTAAAATCAAGAGGAGGACCTCCCAGTTGGGGTATGGGTTAAGTCTCACCGTGCTATCAACACGAAGGCCTCAGTTCCATCCCCAGCCAGGGAGCTAACCCACATAGTGCAGCAGACCTCTCCTGTCTTATCTGCTGCTCCCCTCAACAGTGTATTTCAGTCAGTCTGCCTGTTCTGTTCCTCACTCTGTCTCTGGTGAATTCTCTCACCCCGTCCTCCCCCCAGCTCTGGCCTAAACCACATTTCTTGTACGCATAAATAAATAAAAAAACTTTGAAAAAAAATAAAATAAAATCAAGAGGCAAGGAACAGGCAGCTCCTTTCCACCATCTTCAGTTCTTCAATGAGTTCTTTTGCTTTTTTTTTTTTAAGATTTATTTATTTACACAAGCACTGGGTACAGTCAGAAGCACGGGAGGGTGAGAGAATCCACCAGAGCCAGAGCGGGGAACAGAACAGGCAGACTGATGAAATACACTGCTGAGGGGAGCAGTGGGCGGCAGGAGAGGTCTGTTGCACCATGTGGGACCCTCGCCGGTGGCGGGAATCGAACCGGTGCTACAGAGGCAGCTTCGCAGCCCAGCTCTCAACCGCTGCGCCACTAGGGGAGGCCCTTCAATGAGTTCTTTAGGAGTGATGGCTGCTGTTTACACTCCTGTTATCTGCAACTTACTGCCC